TAAAAATACCTGTGTTATACATTTTACTTATAATATGTTTGGTGTAATGATCTTATGCTGTGTAAGAATACATGCAAATAGAAATACACACACACACACACACACTTCTGTTGATAGGATTTTCTTTATTTGGTAGGAGGTTTTGTATTATTTTGTGACAACTGCAAGTAAGCATTTTCCATCATGAGAAATTTACATAGTAAGTGAGAACAAGTTCCTTAAAACAAACAAAAAAAAACCAAAAAACACTTTCTCTTTTACTTTTTACCTTTTTGTCTATATTAGCTAACTAATCCTCCCAGTCATCCACTTAGCTTTGTTGGTGGAGGTCACATTGCACAATCTGAGGTTTGTACATTCTCTCTAAATAAACAATTGTGTTTATCACTAGATATTCATAATTGGAGCTCTGGCTTCTTATTTTGTAAAGTTCACTTTCCAAACCATGTATAATAAAACTAATTGCCATTATGTATTATTTTAAAACATTTTAAGAACTTTTCCTGGGGAAGATGTATTTTAAATTACCATTTTCTTACCTAAGCATGGCTATCTCAAATATTGAAATAGGCTTATATATAAACTTACCTTAAGAGTAACCTTCTTTTAAAATTTTTAGTAACATTATAAAACAGAATGTGATTTCCTAATTTTAGAATGTCAGTTATAGGCAAGTTAAAAACTGTGAATTAAAGACAAATTAATAACCATTAATTTTTGCATACTAAAAATATGAGTATGTGCCACTTGCTATGCTGTGTTCCAGGAGCACAAAGACAGATAAAACGTAGTAAGTCTCTGCCTTTACTGGTGGAAGAGGTAGTAGACATGGAAAGAAGCAATAGTGGGAGAGATTCCCAAGGTGCTTTATATGGAGTAACAAAAGGATTAGGTTTGTGTTGCAGGGAAGTAAGCCTTCCAAGATAAAATACAAGATGAAAACAAGACAATTTATACAGCCCTGTTTAAGGGTCACACGCTAAGCAGAGGGTATTAAAACAAAATTTCCATCTTTCAGGAGCCCATAATTCCCTTTCATATCATATAAAACATTTTTTTCATATTATTATAATAGGAAAGATAGTAATTCAACTCACCAATGAGGTCCATGAACCATTTCATTCAGTAGAGCTGACCTACGGTTTCCCTGAAAGGGGGGTGATAACATAAACTAATGTATCCCAAAGATTATCCATCAGTCAACTCTACCAAACCAGTTATTTTTCCAAGGCTGAATAATCATGATCATGTTAAAATGAGCTCTTGTCCCTTGTTTTGTCTGATCCAGTTTTCTAGTTTCAAGTCAGGCATTTTTAGAGCTCTATAATTTATTAATATCAAGTATCATAATATCCCTAGAACCTCATAAGGATGGTCAAATGAGAGAGCAGGACAAATAATCTTATTTATAATTTAGAATGAAAATAATTAGCTTTATTGCAGTCTGGGACTTATTTCAAGTTGGCAGAATCCATCCAGGAAAGACCATATTTGAGGTCTGCCAATTCTTGGTCCACAAGTATGAAACTTCGAATCAGTCTTCCACCACCGAAATGGGTCTTAGAAAAATCAGATTTGAAAGATAGCATGCAAAATTGAAAACAAATTTGTTAGGATGAGATTATAGGTGCTGTTTAAACATTTAAAAAATATTACTGCAGCATAATTTTTAGTTACAAGTTTAACTATTGAATTCAATTCCCTCAATTCTTCAGTAAAATAAATTGGGTTCCAAAGAGACTGAGTACTGCCAAAAGTTACAGTAAAAACAATTGAAGAGTAAGAACTACAATCCAGGATGCTTGACTTCTAGCCTAGTTCTCTTTTTGAGACACCGGAAGTGTCTCAAGAGCAACACATTAAAAACTTTTAGAGGTAACATTACTTTTTTTCCTCTTCTGAAGAGATTAATATAAATTGTAGGAAAAATAGGTATAATTAAAGTTACTGATATAAAGATTTATACTGATATAAAGTTACTGATATAAAGATTTCTATTTTAAACAGCCAATAAATAAGTATAAAATTAGTATTTAAAGCAACAGAGCTAAAAGCACTGGTATTTTTCTCAATATTTTGCTTATTTGGAAAAAAATGAAAATAAATATATAACTACAGCAGTTTCTAAACTACCATTATTAAGTGAAATACAGTCAATAAGAATATAAGTGCCTTAAGAAATGTCTGGAAATGTCTGCAATAATGTTAAAATAGCTGCCATACTTTACATTTGACTCACCTAGCTTATCATTAATACATGAGTGCATACTATGCGCAAAGGAACTTTCAGAAGACAAAAGAGTATAAAGATGAATCCTTCCAGAGTTCAACAAAAAAGATATGTGTTTAAATTAACATGGTTTCAAGATTACACAGTTTCACGTTTGAGACAACATTTAAGCTGGACTTTAAAGATAGGCAGCATTAATGGAAGCAGGGGTGAAAAGAAGTGACATTTTAAATAGAGAAGTTAGTATGTGTTAAGGTAGCAAATGAGAAAGTTCCTAGCATATGTAGGAAACAAAGGTTACTTTCAAGGTGGAATATAGGATGCCCTGAGGGGAAAAGCAGGAAGTAAATTTGTAAGGCCAGTGCAATTTGGGATTGTAGATTGGGATTGTAGACATTAATTCATAGGGAATGAGAATCCAAAATGAATCAAAATAAAAATATAATGATTAGTCTAGAAATACTAATCCATAACACAAAATCTGGGTGAAAACGTCTAATAGTCAACTACAGGTTTAAATTACAAAAAAAAAAAAAAAAAAAAAAAAAAGGAAAAAAAAGTTCCCAACTATTGCAGATGTTTCACATAAAACAGTAATTCTATGAAAGATTTTATAGTATGCTCAATTATGGAAGTGCGTTGATATTTTTTAAAATGGCCTGAAGTGGTTTGTCTCATAACTTAAAATAAAACTTTTTTAACCATGGATTTAAGAGTCAATAAGGGTTTTTCACAGGTTTCTAATGTAGAGATATATATATATATATATATATTTTTTTCTCTAAAGTAGAATATTAGATCTTTCTCTAAGAGTGTAATGATGACCTAGGCTGGACAGAAGGCAAAAAAAAAAAAAAAAAAAAAAACTATGTAGAAGACAAAAGTATAATAATTTTAAGAAGTGATAAAAGAGCAGGAAAGGGACTAGTGCCTTTCAAATCCTCTAGGTTGGTTCCCAAGCTGTGAGTTTTTGTTTAACTGGTAAAGGTGACAGTTGAGGGGAAGTGACAGTGGATAACAGCACATAATTTGCAGTGACAAAGATGATTACAAACATTCATAATATAGGATGGTGGTAGTGGAAAGAGAGGGTATAGAGTTAAGCAGGCCTGAATTTCAATGCTAGTCATGTGATCTTGAAAACATTTCTTAACTTCCCCATGGTTGATTTTCTTCTGTAAAATTAGGATAACAAATATTTACCTTACAAGGGAGAATTAGAGCATAGGAAAAAACTTGATAGCTCTTCAATAAAAACCTTTTGTTAAGATCCTACTGTGTGCTTACCACTGTGATTCTGTGGCTTTTAATCTTTGGCAGACTATGGGAAAGACGAATTGTACTTACAAAGATGATCGAGGAGCACTTCAAAGCCCCAGTTCAAAATTATTTCTTCTCTCTCTCTCTCACTCTCACACATACATACCCAAGCACACTTCCGCCCTACCAATTAGGTAGGAATTTTAAGTTAACAAGATACTTTCTTAAAAAAATACAGTGTCCTTCGGATAGGCAAATCACCTACACACTTCAGTGTGATCAGTTCTTTGCTTAGTGAAAAGTTGCTGGGTTCTCTTGGAATTCGAAGAAGGCAATGTGAATTAGGAACTTCTTGAGGGTACTCAGTATGATTGGAAGGTGGGAAGGAAGGAGGAAGTAAGGGGAGACATAGAGAACGAAAAACAAAGAGAAAAGAGGCCACAAATATTAATAAGTAGTGGTTCTTACTTGGACTTTCCCCTTGGAGGGGACCTTTCCGTCCCCTGATAATCTCTTAGGAAGATAATTGACACTTAAATTTAAATTGTGAAGCCTGTCAGTTGAGAAACATGTTGAGACAAGTCTCAATCATTTTAGGACGTTTATTTGCCAAAATTAAGGACACGCGCCGGCTATGCCTTTCTGGGAAGATGATTTTGAGGGCTCCAAATTTAAAGGGGAAAGGGTGGGATACTGAGAAATACAGTTTTCATGTGAGAAGTTGGCAAGGGAAAAATAATCTTCATGCCCCCATCTGGCATAGTGAGTCTGAATCTGCATTTTTACATAAGGTAACATAGATAAATGGGGCAGGAGAACAATCAGATATGCATTTGTGTCAGGTGGGCAGAGGCTGAAAACAGAAGCTATCCATTTACATTCCCACGGTAAATTTTAATATAAACATTTCAGGGTAAAGATTTTGGAGCTCACTGAGAATTTCCTTGTGGGCAAAATATGAGCGACGTGTGTAGCTTTTCATCTGGTAGCCATCTCATTTAAAAACCAAGAGGCAAGGCAGTTTTGCGTGACCCGGTTCCCAGCTTAACTTTTCCCTTTGGCTTAATGAGTTTGGGGATCCGAGATTTATTTTCCTTTCACAAGCCTATGCCAAACTCAGATTCCTTCCTTTCATCCCTGTTTCATCTGTTCAGGCTGGTTAGTTCCCCTTTCCAATCCACACAGAGGAAAACAGAAAAGACAGTGAGAAGCTATGTGTGCAGAACTCTTCTGCGCTCCACTCCATCTAAGCTCTCAAGAAACTTTTGGATTTTTTTGTTTGTTTTTTCTATTCATCGGTCTTTTAAAGAGGCAATCCCACTTCTCCATTTCCACTTCCTAATAAAGAATGCTAAGTAACTTAAGGATTGTATTTAAATTATGTAGCTATTCAATCAGGGTCAGTCATAGTTAATTGTTTTCCCCCACTTCCCATAGCCTTGACTTTTAGCTTAGCTGTGGCAGTGAAGATCTGGCCCTAAGCTATTGCGACCCAACCCCCATTTCACAGGCTACTGGACTGCGGAAAGCTGAGGCTGCCAACTTTGGAGCCTAGGTTTCTCAGGACATCAGGTCAAGCAACTGAGAGGTCCACCCAGGGGTAAATTCCTCACATAGTTTCTTCTCTCTTGGGACCAGCGCTTTAACATCTGGGTTAATGAGATCGTGCAGACACGGTAACTAGGCAGAGAAAACAGCTGGACATGTTGCTGGGAGCCCAGACAGAACGTGATCAGTAGTTCTCAGAAACTGCGTCTAAATACCAGCTCCAACAGGCTTGTAGCGTCCGAGTGCGGATAAGGCAAGTGCAAAAACGACAATAGTTTGGGCCTTTGGGGCCAAATCTGCACTTCTGAGAGCTACTTTTACTGCTAAGTTTTGAAATTCAATTTACCCAGAAGGAAGCGTTTCAGAGTGGCAACCGCAGCCAGGTAAAACTAATATTTGCACTCACACACTCCCCGGATTCTTCACAGACAAGGATGGAAGAGAAAACTTAGGAAGTTCAAGTTTGGCATTAAACTAAAGGACTCGCCGCCACTCTGTACCTCCTTTAGGGAGTTCATTCGTCCCGAGCGCCTCACAGCTTAGTGCGCCTGCGCGTGCGCGGACTGCGGCCCCGCCTCCGCTTTGGGGACGTGGACGTGCGTCGGGTCGCGGGACGCGGGTGCGCATGCGCCTTCATTACGCCAGCCCGCTGCCTCGGGCTGCCAGCGGGAACCGCGGGGTGGACGATTTTGGCTGCTGTGTTTCCCGTGCCTGTTAGGCGCAGCGAGCCCGCAGACTGAGCAAGGAAAGGTTAGAGGAAGTGCTCCCCTAGGCTGCAAGAGTCGAAGCAAGAGTATTTCCTTCCCACCAGGCAAGTGCCCATAGAAACCGGGCCCCGCCCCCTTCCCGGCCTGCGTTCCCATCCCGTCTCCGGGGCGGAGGTGAGGACCTCCTTAGTTCCTGGGGTTCTGTCAGTGAGCCCCTTCCTTGGTCATGAAGCTCGTGAGGAAGAACATCGAGAAGGATAATGCAGGCCAGGTGACCCTGGTCCCCGAGGAGCCTGAGGACATGTGGCACACTTACAACCTCGTGCAAGTGGGGGACAGCCTGCGCGCCTCCACCATCCGCAAGGTACAGACCGAGTCCTCCACGGGCAGCGTGGGCAGCAATCGGGTCCGCACTACCCTCACTCTCTGCGTGGAGGCCATCGACTTCGACTCTCAAGCCTGCCAGCTGCGGGTTAAGGGGACCAACATCCAAGAGAATGAGTATGTCAAGATGGGGGCTTACCACACTATCGAGCTGGAGCCCAACCGCCAGTTCACCCTAGCCAAGAAACAGTGGGATAGTGTGGTTCTGGAGCGCATCGAGCAGGCCTGTGACCCAGCCTGGAGCGCTGATGTGGCGGCTGTGGTCATGCAGGAAGGCCTCGCCCATATCTGCTTAGTCACTCCCAGCATGACCCTCACTCGGGCCAAGGTGGAGGTGAACATCCCCAGGAAAAGGAAAGGCAATTGCTCTCAGCATGACCGGGCCTTGGAGCGGTTCTATGAACAGGTGGTCCAGGCTATCCAGCGCCACATACACTTTGATGTTGTAAAGTGCATCCTGGTGGCCAGCCCAGGATTTGTGAGGGAGCAGTTCTGCGACTACATGTTTCAACAAGCAGTGAAGACCGACAACAAACTGCTCCTGGAAAACCGGTCCAAATTTCTTCAGGTAAAACAATCTTACCCAGGGATAGTTAAGAATGGGCAGAGGGATTGGTATAAACTACTCCTAAAGTTTTAGAACTGGGAAAAATAAGAGGAGAAAGGCTTTACTTACCTGGGATTTTCATGAGATAATGAAATAAAAAAAAAAAAAAAAAAAAAAGAGAATGTTAAATATCTAGCAAATTTGTGGAGTCAACTTTGCAGAAACATATGAAGCCTTATTAGCGCTTTTGGCTTTAAGCCTTTGTGGGCTGATCAATGGGTGTTCTGAGAGGTTCTTTTGCCTAACTTTTATAATTGTGATTCTAGGTACATGCCTCCTCCGGACACAAGTACTCCCTGAAAGAGGCCCTTTGTGACCCTACTGTAGCTAGCCGCCTTTCAGACACTAAAGCTGCTGGGGAAGTCAAAGCCTTGGATGACTTCTATAAAATGTTACAACATGAACCGGATCGAGCTTTCTATGGACTCAAGCAGGTGGAGAAGGCCAATGAAGCCATGGCAATTGACACATTGCTCATCAGCGATGAGCTCTTCAGGCATCAGGATGTAGCCACACGGAGCCGGTATGTGAGGCTGGTGGACAGTGTGAAAGAGAATGCAGGCACCGTTAGGATATTCTCTAGTCTTCACGTTTCTGGGGAACAGCTCAGCCAGTTGACTGGGGTAGCTGCCATTCTCCGCTTCCCTGTTCCCGAACTCTCTGACCAAGAGGATGATTCCAGTTCTGAAGAGGATTAATGATTGAAACTTAAAACTGAGACAATCTTGTGTCTCCTAAACTGTTACAGTACATTTCTCAGCTTCCTTGTGACAGAAAGCTGCAAGAATGGCACTTTTTTATTCATACAGGGATTTCTTATGTATTTGGCTACACTAGATATTTTGTGATTGCCAGGACATGTATTTAAACAATAAACTAAAAGGAAATAATCTCCACGTACTACCATCTTTATTAAATTGGGTAATTTTTATAGGAATTATGAGTTATCTGTAGTACTTGGAAACAGAAAATGTGTGTATTTAATAACGATGCCTATATAGTATGTTGTTTGGGGTAAATTGTAAAATTTCACACTGCATGCTTTGAAACAGTTTTCCTTAGAAAAAGCTTTTGCTAACTTATCCTCAGTTTGCATTATTTCTTTATTTGAATTCTGCATGGTGTTCTTGCATTGCATTTAATGATCCCTTTTCTCCCCACCTCCACACACTATATATTTTTTAGATTTAAATGGTTTTACTATTTTAAATGATTGCCGTACAATTAGTAGACTTGAAGACAAGTTTTAAATATTTTTCTTCAAAGGCTTGTTGAACCAATCATGTTAAAAGGAAATTCTTGGTTTTGTTTTGTTGTTGTTAGCATTAGTCATATTTGATTTAGAGGGTAACTTAATCAGTTATTTTTAGATTTTTAGAGCTTTGATCTGCTAGGGATTGTCAAAATAATCTTGAGGCATCTTTATTTTTAAAATGAGATTGAAGTATGTGATTTGCTTGTTATGTGGCTAATTAGTGGCAAAGCTGGAAGTCATTCCCAGTCAGGACTTTAGCTCTTTGCACCAAAACATGCCATGTTATTTATTTATTTTTTGCTTGTCAAAGTTATACTTTATTCTGTTTTATATTTGTATGTGGCATTAATTTGGGTTTGCACATTTTTTATTGGACTGTTTTAGTTGTCCAAAGTTTAAGTCACATGACTAGTACGTGGCAATTTACTTAAACTACAGTACTCTTTACTATCATTGACTTAAACTCCAGTACAATTTACTATAATTATGTTATTGTGCAAATACCTCCGAGTTTAAAATATTATTTTTATTAAGTATTTTTGGTGCACATTTCTAAAAGTTAAGGAAGGAGCTTCAGTAATGGAATTGCTTCTTGATCTTTTCAAACCTCAATTTAGCAAAATAATTAGTAATGATCTAATAGTGATGATTCAGTTTTTAACTGCTGGATCTAAGTAAACTTTTGCCTCTCTTTCCTGTGTCTGTGGGCCTTCTTCCTGGTGTGAAAGACTTGGGGATTTTTTGTAAGCTTCTTAACTAGTCTGAACCTTTTTATTTCTTATAGGGAACTGACACTTCCCTATACTTTAAAACTCACATATTTATATTTTTATAAATCTACCTCCTAATTTAAAAATAATTGAGATTGTCATTTCATTATAATTCCATGAGTATTTATCTTTAAAATACTGTTTAAATATGTTACTAAATAATTTAATAAGAATATAGAAATGAAACCACTGAGATTCTTAAAGTTCGAACCTGATTGATAATTATATTTTCAGTAAGGATTTGGAGATTTTTGGACATTTTTACTCTCATAACCTATGCAGTACTGAAATGAGGCCTAATAAATATAACCAATACATGTTAGGCCATAGGTTCTCAAATTTAGCTACCTGTTCACCTCAACTTGAGAGCTCTTGAAACCCTCAGTGTCCAGGTTGCAGCCCAGACTAATTAAGTAATGTTTTATTCCTAGAAATGTTTTTTTTTTAAAGCCACCCAGATGATTCCAATAGGCATCAAGGCTGAGAGCCACTGATGCAGGCCTTGCTATTCAAAAGTATGGTCCATAGACAGCAGCATCCCCGAGAGCTTGTTAGAAACTAGAATTCAGGGATCTTTTGTAGACCTACTGAGACAGACGCTACCTGTACCAACATCTCTGGATGATTCCTGTGCATAATAAAATCTGATAAAGGCAATAGGTTATTTTTCCTATGCTGGTAAATATCTGGCAGGGGTCCCCAGTCAGGAAAAAGATTGGAGTATTAAGGTCTTTCAAAAGAGTTAACTGGCCATACTCAACTATAAAACCTAAAAATTTCTGTTTTTGTGTCTATGAATTAATAAAATAAAATTTAACTGATTTTTAAGAAATTACATTTCTGTTATCAAGAATACAGTTCTTACTAGATCATAAGTGAAAATGACAAAATGATAGCAAATTAAAAATTCAAATAATTATTTTTGACTTTTCTAGAAGACATAATGGTCTCTGGAAAGCATATACAGTAGTCTAATTCCAACTACTACTCATTAAGTATTGGATATGTGATAAAAACTCTATAACTCCAATGTACCTTCTCTAATGTACTGTAAATTTCTATTTCCTATCATGTGCTTACAAACAAAGATTTGCTATGCCCACTAAACTCAGTAAATGAGAAGCTTGCACATTATTTCATTTTGCGATAGATACGATACATATCAAATGACACTTAGCTACTCCTGGTCCCCCATTTATATGTTAAATGCCTTGTTAAAATGACAAGATTGTTGATCTTGGATTTCACTTTGATTACCCTCTTAGAAACAGATTGGATCTTTCTCTTCCCAGATGCCACTAGGGTAGCTTTGTAAAGCTCATTTTTCTTTGTCTTTACTTAGTTTCTGTCTCTAACTTTAGTTTCCTTTTTCAGTTTCCCTAATTCTTTTAACTGCCATTTATCTTTAACAGAAGTTACTAGTTCTGGAATTCATATATTCTGGAACTGAAATTATCTGTGTTCCTAAATAACCAAGTATACATATGAAATGGTCTGTACATTAATCCCCCATAATAGCAGCTCTTATTTGGGAAAGGGTTATAGTACATTTAAGTCATATGGTTTTCCAAGCGAGTTAAGACTGCTATTTGTGTTTAGTGTCAGAATATGTTGAATTAGAAGTTGAAGAGTTTCTAAAGTGATTCTAAGGGCTTGAGGAGAGATGAACCCTTTTTCTTAGAGCAAGAGCTTAGATATGGGGTGTCTATATATTACACTACTCATTAAGAGTAATATATTTAATTTTATCCATTTTTTAGTGCCTTTTTTGAAACAGTCACTGGACTAGATGTGGGGAAGACAAACATGTAAGCAAATCACTGTTAAAAGTATAAGTAACTTGTACAAAGTGTCTAAAAGGACACAGTGCTGAAAGGGGTCACTTTTAGGAGGAACTTTATAGAGCAAGGACCACTAAGTTTACCTAAAATGGGAAGAAGAAATATGGAGAAATTAAGTGGGAATATGGGGAGGGGAAGTGTGCTAATCACCTAAGAACCTCAGTGCCACAAGGAGGAGTTTGGGTCTGACCATTAGGAGAAACAATTACAAAATTTAAGCAGCATGCTAAACTACATTTCACAAATATCACTCTTCGGCAGCATCATGGATGGATTGGAGGAGGCAAGATTGGAGGCAGGAAGACTGGTTAAACAAATGCATATTAGGAAGATATGAGAGAAAAATGACAATGGCCTTATCAAGGGCAGCGATAATGTTCCTTGCAATAGGAATGAACAGAAGTCAATAGGCAATATTAAGAGATGGGATCAAAAGGACATGACTGCAGATTGTTGTTTAGAGTTATGGAAAAAAGTAGAATCCAAAGGTAAATCTCAGATTTCTTGAGTGGTGGGAGAGATGATGACACAAAATGTAACTTTAAAAATGGTAATTAAAAAAGAAAAATGTTTTATATGATGGTGGTTAAATTTACTAAAAAGATTTTTCAGGATTCCCATAGTGCAGGAATTAGCAAGCTGTATCTCATTCAGGCCAACCAGTTACTGCTAGTGGACCCCGTAGCCTTGTGCTCCCCATCTGAACGTGGTATCTCTGATTTGTCTCACCAGACATTTGCTTCACTTCCCTTTTTATTCCCTGAAGAACCACAAGAGTATGAACTGTGCCATCAATTTTGCAGTTTGATTTACATCTTTCTTAATGATTTGAAACTAATTTGTTTCAAAAATTGATTTTGACCAGAGCACAATTTTGCTGGTATATCACATTAAGTAAATGAATTCTCCAGCAGTGAGTGCAACTAAAGGGAAGAGCTGACGAGCAACTTAAAAAAGAACTATTAATTCCAGTAGTTGGTAAAATGCTCAGTAAAATAATTTTCTTACAATTGATGTCAGCATATTTAAACTTTGTGGTGTGATTCAGTTTATATACTCTAAGAGATTTAGTGTTTTAGAAAAGTGTTCTTCAAGATTTTCCTAATGTATTATATGTATCTCTCATGAATTGAATTGATTTAGAAATTTAGTGTAAAAGTGTTACTACAAAGCCAACAACATGATATATAAAGGAGCTAGGATGCAATTATAATATTTTTGTGAATCAATTATGCCTTTTTAGGAAAAGATTTAGAATTCAAAAATGCAGCTAATGAAAATGTTAGAAAATAAAATCTATAATAGTAGTTTTCGATTTAACAAGGAGAACAATCAAGTTACTAAATATGGTCATCAAGTAGTAAACTTTACTTAGAAATAAAAAAATTGACCAAGTTCAGTAAAGAGATATTTATTTAGGTTAAAAATACCATTCAGAAACATTGCCAGAAGGTATTTGTTAATGGAAATACCTTTTCAGTGGAGATGATAAAGTCTCATTCATTGTTTTTCTTTATATAGTAAGAATTAGTCCTTTTTAGAAAGTGTGTGATATATATCACCATCTATATTCTCATCCACATGTTACAATATTATTTCTAAATTTCTAAGAATAATCTGTAAAATAACTATTTTGCAGTAGATCTCTATTTTTGGTAACATGTTTTTATATTGTGTTGAGATAAATAACACTGATTGATTGGAATATTATGAATGTTTTAATTTAAATTGAGAAATGAATGAGTTTCTGTAAGGACAAACACCTTTGTGTGTAGTAGTATAGTTGCATACAAATTTGAGGCTGCAGTGTTTGCTTTTTACAATGAATATTTTAACTCTATAATAATTGGCATTGATATGGGAAGGTCTTAAATTTTCAGATTTTGTTTGTTAAGGATGATAACATTTATGATAAATTGTGAAGACTTGGATATCAGTCTTCTTTTAAATTTCCTTTCTTTATTTCCTAAAATTGCCTACATTAAAACCCCATTCTTTAGAATGTTAGTTCAATGGAAATGCCTTTATTCTATGTCAGAGATTTAAGGAATTTAAAGCTTATTTCTTTTTGGGTGCCACATGTGTTTTCAAAACACCCGATACTGAGGCAAGAGCAGTATTTGCCAAGTAGCAAATACAAGAGTGAAATGTTTTGGCAGTCATATTGCCTGGCTTTGTCCAGGGTTGGTACTACTGTCCCCACTCCAGGAATGGACAACCTATTATAACGAAAGTAACTGTGTGCTTATTAAGTGTCAGGTATTATGGTAAGTGCTTTAAAATGCATTAGTCTTTCAAGAACCCTGTTAGAATGGTTTTGTCTTTACTATTTTCTGATGCAAAAAGTTGAAATTAAAGAAAGTTAAATAATTTATCCAAAGTAACATAGCTAGTGGGTATGATGAGGTGCTCCCTCAGCTATCACCCTAAAAAAACTAAGAATGCCAGTTCTTCTCAGCTTTCAGTTTGGAGTAGGCAAACACGTATCTAAAAATAAAAATAAATTATTTGATGACACTAAATTTTATATAATCAGCCAAAGTTTATGCATTTTTTATGTTTTTATTATTCTGTCATCTCTCATGAGAAATCAGGAACTCAATTCTATGGTCCTGTAATCTATCTGGATCATAGTGGAAAATTAGAAAAAGCAGAGAAAATGTGGCAAATCTGTGTATTAAAGCAATCCCCTCAAGCATTACCCAGCATCCATTTATTGTTATTTCACACCTAGTTTCAGCAAGCTTTTTTTGTTTGTTTAATTTTAAACCTACAATTAAGTCATGCACTATTTCAACAACCTTGTTTTGTTAATGATGCACCTTAAGTAACTAGAACTATGCTACCCCTGGGTATGCAAGGATGAATTAAGACAGTTTTCCCTGCCTTTAATCTAGAAATTAGATAGCAGCAGGAGATGACCACAAGTGACCAAGTTAACAGAATTGATAGCAGTCAGAAGTGACAGCTGATAGTGGGAGTGGATCCTGAAACACTGTCAAAAGGAAAAAAGCTTAGGGTATTATAGAGTTTTTCGTTGGGGCTTGAGGATGTTACTGAGTACAATACCAGTATCTGGTGTTCACATTGAGGAAAAGATCAAATTACATTCAGTGTATTCTGTTAAAGAAGTTAAATACATGTAATGTCTTTCAAAATGATTTTCATCCAAAAGTAGTTGTACTTAAAAAAGTCTTTAGCTGTCATACGTAGAATGACTTCCAGATAACCAGTTTTACTATGCTTAATAGTCTCAGTAATAAAACTCAAATAATTGTTGAAGGATGAATTTTTGTTAAGGAAAAAAAATCCCAGTAGGTTTTAGTTGCACAATTCATTCAGAGATAGGAGGTCCTTCTGAGTTCAAGTCTACGTACCAGAAGTTTTATGTCTGGAATTTTTCATCAAGTCCTAGTGTAAACATTGACTAGAACTTTTTGTTTGACACCATTATGAAAAATTGCTCTGTGGATAGAAAGCATTTTAATCTTGTGTTTCAGCTCATTTGATCTGATGACCATAATTTATAATTTATTTTTCCTCCCCAAGTGTGTTGTTGACTATGGTATAATTCTTTCTTTCTTTCTTTCTTTCTTTCTTTCTTTCTTTCTTTCTTTCCTTCCTTTCCTTTCTTTCTTTTCCTTTTCTTTTCTTTTCTTTTCTTTTCTTTTCTTTTCTTTTCTTTTCTTTTCTTTTCTTTTCTTTTCTTTTCTTTTCTTTTTCTTTTCTTTCTTTCTTTCTTTCTTTCTTTCTTTCTTTCTTTCTTTCTTTCTTTCTTTCCTTCCTTCCTCCCTTCCCTTCCTTCCTTCCTTCCTTCCTTCCTTCCCTTCCTTCCTTCCTTCCTTCCTTCCTTCCTTCCTTCCCCTTCCTTCCTTCTTTCTTTCTTTTTTCTTTCTTTCTTTCTTTCTTTCTTTCTTTCTTTCTTTCTTTCTTTTTTTCTTTTTCTTTCTTTCTTTCTTTTCTTTCTTTAAA